AGGGTGCGTCTGTCACCTGGTATGGAAAAACATTTCAGTGCCGATCCTTATTGGTGTGCCAGCATCCTCTCTTGAGGATGCTGAAATACACACATGAAAATAATTCATCTGAAATATTTAATATAGTCAGTAATCATCCAGTTGTTCTTGAGTCTACCAACACTATTTGAGCTCACCTATACACTTCTCAGGCTAAAAAACAAGAAGGAAAGAAAAAAATTAGCATTAGAATAGAAGTATACCTAGCTATACTATAATAAAATTCTACATACTCTAGAGAGACTCACTCAAAAAGGCACAATTTCACTGTAAGTTACACCCTCAGAGTAGTTATTTTGACAGTGACTCTGTAACTGTTTAGCTTGAGGACCTGATGGCACCCTAGAATTCCTAATGGAGACCCAGGCTATAAAAAAAATACAGGAAATACAGTTTGGATATTCTGTGGCCGGGTAATGTTTAATCATATGTAGCTTGAATAGCAATGAGAAAATTATATTACAAAACCACAGATATTCATAGAAATGAGTAAATTAGGAAAACATTCATCTGGGAAATCTCTAAAGTGAAGCTGACCTTGAGCAAAAAGCAAAATGAAGAAAAAGGGGGTTTGAAAATGTGTTGGAAACATCCTGAATAAAAATTTTTGACTGCAAAATTGACTTTGAGAAAATGAAAAGCATTGTAGCCATTTCAAAACTTTTACATAGTGGTACTAATTCACCCATTGAGGTAGAAAAATAATTATAAAAGAAATCATTATTGAATATGCTCTGGGTTTACTGGTAATTCTTTAAATATAACATCTCATTTAATGCCCACATGATACCACTTTAGAGAAGAGGAAACCGAAACATAAGAGAATTTCATGAACTGTCAGATGCATATATATGTACTTAATAAGTGGCAAAGAAAAGACTTGACTCAAGTTTTCAAGTTCTTCATCTACACAAGTACCCACTGTAATGGTTTAGACAGTCAAGATCCTAAATAATATCAGCAATCACATTTCTTTTTATTTTATTTATTTTTTAAAGGATTTATTTATTTATGCATACAAGAACTGGGTACAGGCCAGAGGTGAGAGGGTTCACCAGAGACAGAGTGGGTAGCAGAACCGGCAGATGGAGTGCAATACACTGCTGAGGAGGGCAGCAGGCGGGTCAGGAGAGGCCTGTCATACCATGTGGGTCACCTCCCTCGCTGGGGATCAAACTTGTGCTGCAGTGGCTGTAGATCTCTTCATAGTGCTGTTCTTTTTAACCCGTTGCGCCACCAGGGAGGGCCCCAGCAACCACATTTCGAAGAAAACTAAGCAGACAGCAACAGCTCTCTTGAGCACCTGTGACTATATATAGGCATTTTGCTTCCCCAACCTCCCTTTGCAAAGCAGCAAAGCAGCTTTCCTCTCAAGGCTGCCCACCTGGGACTATGCAGGTCTCTCTCTTAACAAACATCTCTCTTTCAGCTGTAGCCCTCTGCCTGCTTGTGTCTTTGCAAGCATCCTTAAATTCCCTTTTTATAATAAACCTGTCCTTTTTGAATGCATAAAGAAGAAAACAAAAAGAGTAATGGTAAGTTATACCTTATAGTTGTATGTGAGCATTTCTATTGCTAGTAGACTGGGTTCAAGTGTGGAATAATATCTACTCCATCAATAAGTATTCATCTCCACAGCCGATATTCTTGCTTCCTCCTTAATTCCCTTCCATTCCACAAGTCCCACGACCGAACCCATGCTGACTCATGGTGGAGAGCAGTGGCTTCAACCTCACTTTCCATAATCAAAGTTGGAATTGAAGCTCTAAATCCAAGACATCTGGAAAGTGACAGTGAAGGTTACAATTGTGATGGAACACAGGGACAGAGAGGGGAATTAGTAAAGATATGGGACATTAAAGCCTTCAAAGTATACTTCCCCACCAACTGAAATGGTGTCTGTTTAGAGCAGTAAGTTAGTGCGTTGTGGTGGGTGGGCACATCTGATTATGTACCCACGGAACCACAGCTTGCCATATCAGTAAGAGCTATCATTTACATTACACTGATACTTTACCACTGCGTAAACTTAGATTTTCCAGCAGAAAGTGTCCTTAAGAATGTGTCCAATTTTAAATTACAGGCTAAATTAAACAGACTCTCTAGATCCATATCCTCTTATTACTGTGATTCTGAGTTCAGATTACAAGGCTCTGTCCCGCCCATGACCAGGGATAGATGTGGGCATGGCTGCTGTCCCTGTGGGGGCTGCAGTAGCACGCTCTGAATGACAACAGGCCCGGCAAACTGAGGCCACCGCAGGGTCTGAAGCATCAGCTGTGAGAGACGCTAAACCCACAAATTTGTATCTTTTCAGACATTATTAAATCATTAATGTAAAAGTAAGTTATGTTTTTCTTTGTTAAATGGCTGAGTCATTATATTAGCAGTTGCTAACATAGGAGAATGACAAGTTCAGAAGTTATGTTATACACACACAGAGAACAGACCTCATCTGAAACCCAGTAGGGCAATCATCCTTGCAGGCTGACTTCTGGGGTGTGGCTTGAGCTGTTACCCCAGGACCTTGGCAGTTCTAACTGCACTGCCAATCAGTCTGGAGGACCAGACTGGTTATAAACCTGGATAACTGCAAACTCACCCTGTCCCCTTCTGGAGGCTTTCAGAGAGTGTGTTTGGGTTGGGCCCTGAGAGTGAACATTTTAAAGAAGTTCCATTTTAAAGAAGTGGTGTTTTCTGGGGACTAGAGTCTGCACATCTCTTCTTATAACAGATGATTTTTCCATACACAAGTACAGAGTTTTATTAACCAACTATTAACATTCTTTTAACTTGTTTATGTTTCAATTTGAGTCCAAGGGCAGGAAAGTGCCATTACCCCAACTCCAAGGAGTCAGATGGAGGAGGTCTCCCTTAGGGGAGTATTAGCCTTTCTGTACTAGTCATCCCGGTCAGTTGATTAAATGAGCCCATCCATACTAGGGAGAGTATTTTCTTTGCTCAGTATACCAGTTCCAATATTAATCTCATGCAACACCTTCACAGCACACTAATGTTTGATCAAGTATTGGGGCACTGTTCCAATAGTGGTCCAGGTAAATTAACATATGAAATGAACTATTACCTGGGTCCTTCTTAAAAGTCTGCCTGCAGAATTATGGCACAGATGCATGTTTTATTTGGTAAAGGAAGGGGAATTTCTGTAGTTGAAATTCATATTCTTGTTCAGTGATTTAGTAAAAGATCACCTGTTCTGTTGTCACTTAATATTTGTATTCTGCCTTTCTAGTCCCTAACTAGCTAAAAAGATGTAGACTAGACTACACTGTACTTAAAAAGAAAAAAAAAAAAAAAACAACTAGAGAAAAAATAATGATTTAGACATCTGCTGTTTTGCCTAGAGAAGCCTTTCATACATCTATTGCCCCACAGAACATTGGCATCAGTGTTAAGATGCACCAAGGGATCAACATATTTTTCAATGTAGATAATGACTGATTTTCAGTCTTTAGTCTAATCCTATGCTATGAACACAATGGATAGTGTTATTATATAGGGTTAAGTGAAAAGCCAATATAAAAAATTGTATCTCATGGGAAAATGCTAAGTGACTAAAAAAAAAAGCATTACTGATATAATTATTGCTTCCCACAAAGTCAAATTTGTCATAAAGAACATGAGAAAATATTGATGTGATGTCAAATTTTTTTCTGATATATCTTCATTATTGACCTTTTGACAATATCCATCACTCTACAGAAAAATGCCGTCTCCAAAATAAAACGAAATCTATGAAGCAAACAATCCAATCCAATATTAACCAGAATCACTGTTACTCAGCATTCAAGTATGAGAAGATTTAGAAATGGAAATTATAAAATTTCTAGTATAGTTTTGCTGATGCTGGTAAAGGCTATTTTAAATGTGATGGTATGTTCAAATGTATGATGATTAAAATTGTCATGTTTTGGTGATTGTATACTGTTTAAATAATAAGGAGGGTAATGAAGAAGTTTTCATTTTCTTAAATGGGTGCAATAAAATTCTGGACTTGGGCCCTCCCTGGTGGTGCAGCGGGTTAAAGCACAGCACTAAGAAGCTAAAGCCACTTCAGCATGAGTTTGATCCCCGCCCTAGAGGTGACCCACATGGCACGGCAGACCTCTCCTGACCTGCCCACTGCTCCCCTCAGTAGTGTACTTCATCAGTCTGCCTGTTCTGCTCCCAGCTCTGTCTCTGGTGAATCCCCTCATTGCCCCTGCACCTCTGGCCTGTACCCCAGTTCTGTATGCATAAATAAATAAATCTTTAAAAAAAATTCTGGACTTGTATATGACAAAATAAACTGATAAAGGGATGTCCACAGTTAGTGCTGTATCAGAGGCAACTTTTGCTTTTTATGCCAGTTTACTGGATCTTACTGGGTGTGGGCCATTCCTGACATCCCTCACTAGCTTTCTTTTCCAGGTAAAATAGCTTTTGATGTTTAATAAAGATTTATTTATTTATGAATAAAAGAACTGGGGCATAGGTCAGAAGTGTGGGAGTTGAGAGGATCCACCAGAACCCAGCAGGGGAACAGAACAGGCAGATCCATGAAGTACACTGCTGAGGGGAGCAGTGTCCCCAGTACAGCATTGTATGGGGAAACTAAGGTGGAGGTGGACTGGAGCTAAAGGGAAATGGGTTAAGGCTGGTGGAGGAAGGTTGGGTGAAAACAGATCACTGATTTTGGAAGTTAGTATGAGCCCACTTATTAAATCTAAGCAAAGTGAAGCAAACAAATGAGTTTGATCCCCGCCCTAGAGGTGACCCACATGGCGCAGCAGACCTCTCCTGACCTGCCCACTGCTCCCCTCAGCAGTGTACTTCATGGATATGTCTGTTTGAAGGTTCATTTTAGTATCCATAACTTAAAAGGGTAAGTAGCATTTAAGAATTAAACATTGTTAAGTTTCTTTTTTTCTTCTCTAGTTTTAAGGACAAAACAGAAGAGCCAGATGGAAAATATGCTATTTTGGCTGATATTTTTCACCTTTGGGTGTCTTCTCATCCATGGATCTGAAACAGAACAGGATTTTATGTGGCCCTCGAGTAAAATACCCCGGGTTGTCAGTGAGAGGACTTTCCATCTCACCAGCCCCACATTTGAGGCCGAAGCTAAGATGGTGTTAAACCCAATGTGTGGCATCGAATGCCACAAAGAACTGCCAGCCCCCAGCCTCTCTGAACTGGAAGACTCTCTTTCATATGAGACTGTCTTTGAGAATGGCACCCGAACCTTGACCACAGTGAAGGTGCAAGGTTTGGTCCCTGTGCCAACTCAGAATGTCACCACAAGAAGAACATCTGTCCGGAGAAAGAGGCAGGTGTATGGCACAGACAGCAGGTTCAGTATCTTGGACAAGAGATTTTTAACCAACTTCCCTTTCAATACAGCTGTGAAGCTCTCCACGGGCTGCAGCGGTGTCCTGGTCTCCCCCAGTCACGTTCTAACAGCTGCCCACTGTGTTCACGATGGAAAGGACTATATCAAAGGGAGCAAAAAGCTAAGGGTAGGTTTGTTGAAGATGAGAAATAAGGCTGGTGGCAAAAGACGCAGGGGTTCTAAGAGGAGCAGGAGACAAGTCACTGGTGGTGACCAAAGAAAAGAAACTCCGAGGGCACGCACCAAGGCGGGAAGAAGAAAGGAATCTGGTCGGGCTCAGAGAGTCGCGGATGGGCGGCCCTCCTTCCAGTGGACCCGGGTTAAGAACACACACATCCCCAAAGGCTGGGCGAGAGGAGGGCGGGGCGGCGCCGCCTTGGATTATGACTATGCTCTTCTGGAGCTGAAGCGAGCTCACAAGAAGAAACACATGGAACTAGGCATCAGCCCGACCATCAAGAAACTGCCCGGCGGAATGATCCACTTCTCAGGATTTGATCGTGACAGAGCCGATCAGTTAGTCTACCGGTTTTGCAGCGTGTCGGATGAATCCAGTGATCTCCTCTATCAATACTGCGATGCGGAGTCGGGCTCCACGGGCTCCGGGGTCTATCTGCGTCTGAAAGAGCCAGACAGAAAGAACTGGAAGCGCAAAATCATTGCGGTCTACTCAGGCCACCAGTGGGTAGATGTCCACGGTGTTCAGAAAGACTACAACGTGGCAGTTCGCATCACCCCCCTCAAGTATGCCCAGATTTGCCTCTGGATTCATGGGGATGATGCCAATTGTACACAGGGCTGACAGAGTCCCCCCTCCCCACTTTCACCCCTCCCCCTCCCCCCGAAATCGTGGAATATCTAAATCTCACCGAAAACCAGTTTTGATTTTTGTAGCAAGATCACTTCATAGGGTATTCCTGGACACGCGCGTTGTCAGTAGCATTTCTACATTTTTATAAATTTACTTTTTCAAAATTAGTGCATTTTCATATGTTAAAAATATCTAGGTAGGTGGACACTTCAAAGCCAAGTATACTTCTTTATATTGTGGTAAGTTTCACTTCTGGGGAAAGTTTTCTGTCTTCTTAAATCTTCAAGTGGGTGCTATAAGAAACATGTAATTTTTTCATGTCTTATGCTCAGGGCCCTGCTCTCTAAGAACTTAAAAGGATGCCAGTTGCAAATTAAATATGAGCCCACAAAGATAGACAGCACCCACACTTAGAATCTGGGGAGCGATATGATATCACATCTCCTTGAGATGGACCCATTCAGCTTACACCTTCAGTGATTATATTGTGTTTTTTGTAAAGTCTGAGAAACTTTTGAACAACAGATTTAATAACAAAACTATTAACTTTTATTGGTTTTAAAAATCCATTGAAGAACTATTTAAAAACAAGAGAAGTGCTTTCTACTACAAAATTATATACTTTAAAAATAGGGAAGCTTGGGATCATTTATAATCCTCAATTTTTATTTAATATTCAAAACATGGGCTTTTTGTGTATGCATAAGATAGTTCAAAAGTTATAAATGATCAAACATTGAAAATTCACACTGATTTATGCTACACATTCCCCAACACATTTTTCGTTCAGGGAATTCTGTTTTATTTGAAGGGAGATCCTTTTAATTCCTTGACAAAATTAAACTCTCTTATAGGGTCACAGAAATATTGATGATTTTTTTATTAGCAATTTTAAATATGATCTAAAAATGACTAATTTCAAACACAATTTTAAAAAGAATTTTCTTTTGAATGATTATTTTCAGTGGGAACCAAGGACACTTTCTCTGGCTAGAGAGGACAGACTAGGAATCTGTCCTGGGGCAAAACATATGATTTTTCTCTGTATCTTTGTCAACATGTGTTGGAAGTATTTTTATTTGCTGTTCTCATGGATCTGAGAAGGTAGCTCATTGTATAAACTACCCAGATCCTTAACCATTAAAATGTTTGTTTTGGAATGTTGATATGTATTATTGAAAGTTTAGAATTTGTTATACAGCCACCCCAATTTATCTATGCACTTAGCACTATGGCATATAGAAAAAAATTATATAATAGAAAATTATATAATAGAAAAAAAATTCAGGATGTAGTATAAAATACCTCTAATTGTGTGATCATGATAGACTGCCCTGAGTAAATGTTCACCAAATGGAATATGCTAATAGTTGTGTTTCATATAATAGAGACCACCTAATGTAATTGAAAGACTGGAATTTCCTAAAAAGATCAACCACCATTTATCCCAGAAGAACTAGTATGTGTGTATGCATGCAGGTCAGGATTACCGTGATACAACTCATTTGCCACCCAATTTATTGGGTTTCCCTACCTAGAGGATGTTTTTCTAAGAACTGCCCGTTAAGGCACTTACCGGTTCTTAGCCAGACAAACAATTCAGAATTCACAACAGAGTTCTAAGCTTCTGTAAGTAGAAACCCTTTTCTAAGCACTCATCCCTTACTAGACCTTCTACCCCCACTAATAGTTGTGTCAAGACTATGCAATTTTTGCTTTACTTAGAACATAATCTACATCTATTGATCCAGATAGTAGATCACAAATCAAGGAAAGTCTCAGGGTATAGGACAAGAGAATGGACTAACAGAATGCAAAGAATCTGGGAGTGGAGGCAATTTTTTTTTCCCATAGAAAAAAGTTTGTAGCTAACCTTCTTAGATGCAATTTCAAAACTTTATAAAGCATAATAAAGGTGCCGTTAATTTTCTTTCTTTTAAAAATCAGTATGGGCTTGGTGCCAAGATGCTACTGCTAAACAAAAGTACCAGTTTATCAAGCAATTGCCTAAAAATAAAAGCATGTCATTTTTGAGACAGAACTGAATTTAGTATAGTGCCATTGCACTTAGAACATTTACTTTAAACAGGTTTCTTTGCGGTCAGGGAAGACCAGTGAGACCATTGTACCCACCAAATGGGCAGCTGTGCCCTGCTTGTGGACAAGCATATGACTGATGTGGCTCCATGAAGGATGTCCTGGCAGTCACTTGCACACACATCGTAGCAACTCTCTCCTGCACATACCCCAAATTAAAGTTTGGTTTTTGGTAGAAACTAGAGTATCATAAACACCAACCAGAGCACCATTTTTATGACCAGTAACTAAATATCTTAGTTTTTAGACTAGAGAAAAAAAATGTTCTTGTGGCTTTCCAATTTTGAACTATTCAAAAATTTTCTCTTTTGCTGGAATCATTTATACAATGCAAAGAGAATGATGCAATGTGAGTTAGCGTGAGTCAGACATATACTTAAAAAACAGCGTGAAAAGGATGAAGTAAGTATCGTCTGCTGATGGAACACATTTGAGAACAATCACCTCTATGAGGGTGGGCAGCTATGATGAAAAGAAAATGTTCCATGAGGAAGTGGGTTTTGAAGATTGTGTTGAAACTTGCCAGCCTATCAATGGGGGACTTGGGTGAAGTGGAGGGCAACTCAGGAGAAGAAACAGCTTATGCAAAGGTATCACGTGTGACATTGCAGGGTGTATTTAGAATACACTATTTTGGGGGTGCTGCTATAGGAGTCTAGCACTTTCTGGTGGTGAAGCAGGTAAGCTAGAGCTCTTTCAAGCCAGACCTCTGGCAGACCACTTGCCTGTTAGGGACCTTAGAGCATATGAACTCTCCCCTCCTCTGGTTGGCAGGGGGTGTTCCAGCCCTTTCCTGTTGTGGGACCACTGTCCACAGGCTTGGCTTCTGTTTCCAGGGTATGGCTTCTCAGAGGCTTTTTGCTCAAGATGATTTCCCTCCTCCAGCCCTCGTGGCTGCAACTGCACACACTGCTTGCCCCCTTGGAATAAACAACATCTTTCACCTCAAATTATCATTAGATACTTTAGTTTTATTTTAAAAAACTATAAATACTCAACATATACTTATTACAACTTTGATTTTCAAGTAGAGACCATTGTAATTCTACAACTGTCCAAAAGCATCTATTAAATTAGCATCATCCATTTAGTTTCTTAAAAAAATCATCATTAGTGGGAGCTAAGTCAGAGCAGAAGTGTCTGAGAAATGAAATCTGAGGTAAGTGTTGTTTCTGCTCTACTCATACACCCTTTCCTAGCTAAAGCACCCATCTCCAGCTTTGAGCTGAATTGTGAATTATGTCTATATGTGCAAGAGGCAACATATGCTTACTAAATTTTTTTTAAAAAAGATTTTCTTATTTATGCTTACAGAACATGGGTAGAGGCCAAAGGTGTGGTGGGTGAGAGGATTCATCAGAGACACACTGGGAAGCAGAAAAGGCAGATTGACAAAGTACACTGCTGAGGGGAGCAGCGGCAGGTCAGGAAAGGTCTGCCATGCCATGTGGGTCAGCTCCTGGCTGAGGATTGAACTCACACTGCAGTGGCTTCTCAGAGCTTCATAATGCGGTCCTTTAACCCACTGCACCACCAGGGAGAGTCCTGCTTACTAAATTTTAAAACACATAATACTTTGGTGATTGAACTTTATTAAGGAAAACTCCAATTATTGATGGTTTATATTTCTGTCTCCATCTTTTAGTGTCACAATTGTAGAAAAATGGCAAAATCTATTTTAAACAATAAAATTTAGTGGCAATAGCCCATGGGATGCTGTCATTGGAAAATTTGACTATGAGCATTTTAAATAACAATTTAAAAAGTAAAAATATCAGCATTTATCAAGCACTATTTTGTGCCAAACACTTTACATGCATAATCTTGTTAAGCAATAAGGATGCAAGTATAAATTTTATCCATTTTACAGACCAAAAAACTAAAGAAAAGTTAGGTACCTTGGCCTACCAATAGTGAATGGTAGAGTAGAAGTTTCCTTCCTCACAGTGTGATCTTGGAGTTCCTGCAAAATTTCAGTATACTAAAAAGGTAACATGGAAGTGTGTTGATTTTGTATTCTACAAAACTATTTATAATAGGTAAGATATAGAAACATCCTAAATACCCCTACACAGGTGACTGGTTAAAAAAGATATGGTGCATGCACACAATGGAATACTATTCAGCAGTCAAAAATATGAACTCATGCCATTTGCAGCAACATGGACGGAGCTGAAAGAGATTATGCTTGCTGAAATAAGTCAGAAGGAAAAATATCAGATGGTTTCACTTATAGGAGGAATTCAGGAGAACCAAACAAGGAATCAGGAAAAAAAAAAAAAACAAAAACATAAAATGAACAGGCAAAAGATAAATCAGAAACATTCAGCTGGAGAGGAGGAGGGAGAGGAATCAAAATAGGGGAGGGAAGAGCATAAGAGACTAGGGTGATGGCTTATGGGTGACTTGGTGGGAATTATACCTGAGAAATCTATAAATAAAAAATAACTAGTAAAACATGGTTACTTAAAAAGTAACATGGAAATGATGGAGGTGGGTATTTGCAAAGACAAAAAAAAGAAAGTAGTGGTAAAGGGGTTGTTACTGTGTACATTCACACACACACAATGCAGTCTACTAATTATCAACAGTAATTCCACACACTGCCCCTCCCCCCCTTTCAAAAAACATGAGAACGCTTTCAAATTTAAAGAAACCACACTCTAAGGGTGGTCTGGGCATTCCTGAGGATCCAGAGACCCTTTTCTAGGTCTGTAAGGTCAAGTACTGTTATTTTTATAACAGTACTGTGAATTCCAAACTGTTTTCATAATGATAGTAAGACATTATTTTCTCACAAGTGAATTCATGGTGGAATTTTCCAGCAACTGCATGCCATGGGCTATTGTCACAGGATAAAGGCAGAAGCAGATGTGAGAATGCAGCTGTCTTCTGTTAAATCTAAAATTAAAGAGATGCAAAGATGGCAAAACAATGCTGGTCTCCTAAATTATTTTCTTGAAATTGTAGTCTTTCACACAAGTATTTTATTTATATTAGTACATAATGGCTTCAATATTTTTACTTTTAAATTAAATACTTAAAATTCTGCTATTAATTCCTAACATCATATTAATGGACATTTTCCATATAAACAAACACTTTAGATGTCCTCAACAAATTTTAAAGATGCAAAGGGTTCCTGAGAACAAAGGGTTTGAAAAATCACTTATCTATAAATCAGAGATTAATTATTATAGAATTAACTATAGAATACCTTTATGTTTCAGAAGTTTGAATATACATGTCATCAGTAGAAGTGAACTCAATTTGATTAAATGCTGTAGTTTTGAGATTTTCGTCAGTTAACTATCAGTCACTAAATCACAAAACACTATTCCTTCATACATTGTCACATACAGAGATCTGAATAATATATTCAGTAGTGAAAATTCTAGGTACAAAAGTATAAATTTTTCTTATATCCTAAGAGGACTAATGATAAACTACAATAAAACCTACTGCCTCAAAAATAAGTAACAATGTGATTTTTCAAATAATACTGGCTTTTGATTTCAACAAGTATTTCTACATGTGAAACACAAATCACTGTTGCAAGATCATAATCTTTTCCACCTGTAAAAACTTAGACATCAATTATAGAACATGTCTATTTAGGAGAAGAAAGAGGGCTGCACAAAATTCATCTTCTATGAATTGAGTTCATTTGTCATGTCCACTCATTTACTCCTTTTCTAAACCCTCTGATTCTTACTCCAAATTCTTTGGTCTTCAGTCTTAAGATTCAATAAATAATATGAAAGATTAAAAAGGGGACACTGCACTACTGAAACAGTTGTAACTTATTTTATTATATAAAAAAGTGATTCAAATCTTCAAGATGAGTTTGTTACTGTGCTTATATTACAACAGATTGACACAGCTATTAAAACTCTAAAGATATTTGATGATAAATGTACTATATGAGAGTTGTCCAGTAATCAGAAATATGATCATAGCCGAGCAATAACCAGGCAAATGAAGAAACCTCAAAGAACCAGTTACTTGAATTCATGCCTCAGACACTTACCTGGCACAGACTGCTAGTTGCTGAGGATAAGAAGAGGAGGAGATGTGTTAACCAGAGTAGATTCCTCCCTGATGGCAATGCAATCTGTCAAGTAACCTCAAGATTGATCAAAGTTCTGCTCTGAGAAGCCACGATGTACAAGTGGGGGTTAAGCTGCACTGGAAGGGCTGGTGGGCTACTCTCATGCAGAGGGCCCTGCCTGGGCTGCTTGGTGGCCTATTGTACAAGTAGAGGTGTGCTCACGCACAGATGAGAGTGTGTGCACACCTGTGTGTGCCTTGAGGAGGCAGGTTGAGGCAGAGGCGGGCTTACGAAAGGATACTCCTTATGTGAAAAAACACCACGGGTAAATTGGATTTGTGCTGGACATTATTCAGAGGTTAGGTTTTGAGTACTCAGAGGACCTCATGCAGCGTCTCATCTGTAAGATATTTCCCCTACAAGGCCATCAATAACACCACAACAAGATTCCAGGGCCAGATTTTAAGATAATGCTCTTGTAGCTTCACCTACTAAGAGCTTATATAACCCCATTGTCCATTCAATCGAGTGGAAAAGCTTATTAGAAATACAAAATTAAACCTAAAATTATTTATTAATGTAATCTAAAACACATTACAATTATACCCATAATCAAAATGCTATCAATAAAGTTGAAAAGTTAGTTCTCAAAATACAAATCTTTGGTAAATAAGGGAAAGATCACTTTAGAGGTAACAATATATTTCTGTTTGAGAAATGCTTCTATTTTGATTGGACTACTTTTTGAGACATTGTAGCAATCTAGTTATAAATTCTATCAGTTTTATTAGAATCAGCTAATCTAGATTTTCTAAGTATCTGCATACAAGTATGTGAACATACTGCAAACTAAAGTCTCATTAGTTTTCAACTTCCATGGAAAATTCTTATGAAAATTATAAAAAAATTTAATTGCATATTTTAAAAAAAAAGTTCATTTTTTTCTTCTTTGAAATATGGAATTTCAGTTTATTTGGCAGTAGCTTAGAGTTCCATGTTTAATAAAAGCAGATTAAAATTCTTTTTTCCCCTTGTTTTTAATTTATTGTAAAAATAATCAAAACTATGTTGGTCTGGACAGCATTTATCACTCCTAAATATTTTAACATTTTCAATATTTCATATACATGTGTGTCATTTGAAACAGACTCCCCCCAAAAAGTTTTCCCATTATTAAAAATAATCAAAGAGAGAAAGATTATATTTGCATTTTCTTTGTTCAAGGTATTTATTGCATCTCAGAGGGCGTACATGCACTGGGATTTTAAACTGAAATACAAAGAAAAGCCATTTTGAAATTTTTCCCCCATTACAGTGTATGTTATCCCCACAGTTAAGTTCAGATACAACCACTTTTAAATGGTACCATACATCTATTAAATAATTTGAAAATTAGGCAAACACCTTTCCAACCCAATATGCTTTAACAAAGAGCTGCCAAGCCACTAGCAACACTGATCAACAGTGACCTCATTTATGCATCAAAATCTTAAGCCAAGCCATCAGCACAGACAGTATGACAACGAATTAAAAATTAAAAAATACAGTATGTACAGTAAAGGATACAATTCTCTGAATTAGTTTAAATTCTAATCACAATGGTACAACAAAACCTACTTTGAGCTCAATTGAGGGATGGAGGAACACTAGTCTACAGAACACACAAAGAAATACTAAAAAACAGATGTACATAAAGCCCACGATAAAATAAAAATTATCTGTAGTAATCTTTAAGTTACAGATATACCTTGGGGTGCCTTCAAAATTGCTTGAATAGCACATCTCTGCTTGCATTTTCACAATAGAACTGGATAGAAATGAACCCTTTACTTTTCAGTGCATTTAATCAAGAATGAATAAATAGGTCAATTTAGATGCAAAACCTGTCAAATATAATTAAAATATATATTTTAATATAGTAGTGATTAAATATGGAATTCTTTCTGTAAGATTTTTCATTCTTGATAAGGTAGCTTCAAGGAGAAATATTTATTATGGACATTAACCTTTATATTTTTTAAAATAAAATTTCTTAACATATACAGTGCCACAAAAATAAACATTTCTCACAACAGTTGAAGTTCCTGTGATTGGAAAAAATGTACTCCACACCGAAAAAAAGTTTTTGTATATTTAAGAGTGTTTTCCTTACTATCTGATATTATATTATGTTTGTAAGAGAAATACAGAAGAAAAGAGAATTTAGGGGGAAAGTTTAGGTTTGTCCAAAAGTTATATATACATTGAAACCTTCAAAAAACACAGACACATCTTTCCAAATGGCTCACCATACAACAGCTGCATCATCCGTCCACGGGCGAGGTCAGAAAAGCACTAAAGGCATCAGGAACATCCATTCATTGTTTACATCGTACAACACACAAATAACCCAAATACACTACAATTTTGAGAGTAGGGATAACAGCTAAGGTAGTACACATTCCTAATGTTCACTTTCACAGCTGTGCTACACATTTTGGAAGAGAAGTTATGAGTAAGCATTGGGTTTGGTACTGGTGGCTCACTTTGAAACTCTGAGCATCAATCTTATTTGAAGTCTCCAAACTCATTAATTTTTTTCTATTCAGTCACAAAAATTGCAGCTGTAAAGATAAAAAGTACTAGAATTAGAAAACAATTATTATATACTCTCCAAATACTTTATAGCCTTTGAAATTTACTTATCACTAGAAAAATCTTTATGCAAAAGATTTTATATTAACAAATTCACAATTCTTTATAATAAGCTTAAAATTTCAGCCAGAAGAAAACTTTAAATTTTTAATTTTTTGATAATAAATTACATCATCGAGATTTCAGAATTTGGATATTTACTAGAAATTTTAATTGTAAGACATTCAGTATCTATTAAGAACAATTAGAACTAACCTTAAGAACTACAGACATTCAATATCTATTAAAAACAATTAAAGCTAACCTTTAAAAAAGCACAGTGAAATAAAAAAGGGAAAGGTGGTAACTTCCATTATATTTATATGTGTATTATATTTATATATGTTTTTCAGTTATGCTGTTCAGTGAGTCACTAAGTAGTTAAGCAGGAGAACAGGAGAGAAGGGAGCTGTCCCTGGAGCTTCACAGTATCTATTCACAGAGGCTGCTCCCTACAATCTATCTGGCTAATCCAAACTTCATAGGACACCTTTCCTGGTGTTCTCTTAGCCATATGGATAACTATCCCTCACAGTCCAGTCTGTCACATCTCCTCTTAACTGTGAATCTCTGAGGAAAGGGATGGTCTCAAGCATCTCCTATTTTGAGTACTTATTCCTGGCACATGATGAGTATGGTACTTACTGAATGAAAGGTGGATAAAAGCCTGCTCTTTATAGGTCCTTGTTCCACTAAAACTTTAATTGATGAGAGATAAGTGTTCAATATCTTACTCAAGTCTACATCAGCTCAATCCAATTTAAAGTAGAATAGAAGATTGGGCACAAGAAGCTGTTTCTTGACTAAGATGTTAAGACCTTGAAATAACTAAGTACACACCAGAGAATGTTTCATCTATCATTCTCTCTCTCTCTACCTACCTACCTACCTATCTAGGCATATATTCATAGCAGATGTATAATAAAAATAACACCACACAGTGGCCCCAAAACTTCAACACTCTTACTGCTCTTCCCAGTGGCTTTGGGAAAGCTACTTCATACCAAGCTCCAGTTCCTTTTGCTGCAAAACGGGAACAAATGTATTTAGCTAGTTTATCTCACAGGCTTTGATCTCAACAAAGAGAATCCAAGGAGTTAATAACTGGGAGGTGCATATAAAAAGTACTGCACAAAATGAAAAGCAGCATTATCACTGTTCACCCACATCCAGTAAGTATTTGCTGAAAACCTAGACAACTGTTAGGTGCTGGGTTAATAATAAATGTTTTTTGCCCTCATCAGTTTCCTCCCATAAGGCCACTATCAATAATCTTATAAATTATATTTGAAATTAGAATGTAAAAGGTAAGAAATGTATATTATAGATATTTAAATGTAGAATGTAAAAAATGCAGAAGTACAAAAGGTGAAAATCTAAGGAAGTTTAGTCTACAGCCATAGCTCCCTGAATGTACATCTCGTCTAATCACACTGATGAGGGAAATGAGGACAATCAAAGTAAAAACAGTTACACAGCCAAATATATTCTTAGATTTTTTCTAAATATTATGAATGTCAGCTTTCTGTAAATTCCAGTTATCATGAAATAAAGTGGTAATTTTCTAATTTACCAAGTAGTTTGGAAAGATTTTGATTTTTCAGCATAATCTTTGTATTTTATATTTTAGCAGTATAATTTTTTTTTGTTATCCAGTATCAGGATACTTTCAAGCTTCTCTCTCCTAGTTTTATAAATTAAGACTTTAAAAAATCATTGTTAAAGATGGCTTTTAAAATTGATTTAAAAGATATAAATACAAACTACAATTATACACAGACAGAGAACAACAGATATCATACCTGAAATAGCTAAAAATTGCACAGGTCACTATTACAAGCTCACAGGAAAAGCTCAATATTAGATACCTTAAATTGTTTACAAGAAATCCTTGATGTTTAGATCCGCTAAGGGGTCCTTTGCTGGAGGTTTCTTGGGACTCTGAGTGGCAGGTGTAGGGCTTGGAGAAAGCTAGTGGGGAAAAGCCAGTCCAAGACAGCAGAAACAGAAAGCAAATAGAGAGGTAGATAAGCATTAGGCAGAGCTTGCAGAGGATTAGATCGCTAAAGGACTACAAAATCTACTTTGTTCTACTTAGTCACAGTGCTATGTTTAATTCTGGATTGCTAAAATACACTTCAATGGTATTTGGCTTTCTTGAAGTTTTTTCACACCAGATTTAGCCAAGGTAAAATTTGGGAATCAGGTAGAACTACATGAACAAGAGTTAGGGAAGAGGTGAAAAACAAGTCACATAAAGATATTAATGATACATATTAAACCATAGTATAAATATCTCTATACAAAAGCATTTTGCATTTGAGTTATTAGTACCACTAAACTAATATAGGAATTTCAATGACTTTTCTTACAGTGAGTTGGTGGAAAAATTGAAAGAAAACGGTCTGCAGAAAGCCACTTAGGAAATTACTTACGTCATTTGCCAAGCATACTAGAAATTTATAAAAGTATATTAAGTTAAAATCAAGTTGTGGTGCACTATTTGTTTCAGAAGAGCAATTTCCTAGTACAAATATCACTAAATTCTAATACTGCCTGTGTTCAGTTTGTAGAGAAGTTTACTTGTCAAACTACTACAGAAAGCAATAATTCTGAGCCTGCAACAAAGACAACAAAAAATCAACTTGCTTCTGCTTAGCTAATAACTAAGTTATTTTACTGTAGGACAGACTGTGAAGGTCCAAGACCTTGAAAAGTCAGGTAATCTATGCATAGTAGGGACTGATATCTGCCCGAGTCTAATTCATCACCTATGTGCTTAACATCATGGAAATGTCAGAAATCTGGGTAATTATCAGAAATCTGGGATATCAAATTTTATTGGGTAAGTAACAGAGATTCAGAAGAAGGATTTTTAGATTTGTTTCTTTGTCCAGAAATGACCAACTGACAATAGTATCTATTCATATATTCATTTCTAAAGCTGGGACTATACTTAATAGAAAGGTGAGGAAAAATGTGTAAGGCATGAAAGTGTTTGGAAGATAGAGAATTCACTGGTCCATAATTACAACAATTATAACAACATCATGATGCCAAACAAGTAAAAAATAGTGAACAGTCCAATCATCAGTAATGAAAAATAGTTTTGCTTTCTAAAGCGTAGATATCAGTGATGTGTCTTTTATTATCTAGTAAAATCAGCTATGTTTCTTCTCTGATATAGGAAACTAAAAATTATAAATGTGGCAGACCATTTCCTAAATTACTATAAATTCAATTACGGAGTAAAAGTTTTTAATCTTGCTCCCTGACTGAGTAAATAGACCAGTGCCAAGTAATGATATTGATAGTATTCTGCAAGGCAGAACAGTGCCTTCATAATAAATTATATTAATTTATTTCTCAAGTTTCTAGCACACCAAATACAATAAAATTTAAAAAATAAAAATAATATGCTTCCAGTTCATTAAAATGGAAATTTTTTTCAAGATGATGGTAATAGTTATGAATATAATTGATCATCAAGGAAACATTCACTGTGAGAATCTTTTTACACTTTAAACATAGTTAGATTAAATTTGACCCTAATTTGAATCCCCTAACTCTCCCTCACTGTTCTCTCTCCAAATCAACTCCAGGCAGGGTTTAACAGTATCAGAAAAAAACTAGAAAATTTCTCATATGTTAGTATTTTGGTGATGACTTTGAAGACTAGGGTTTTGTATATTCTAAATGTATTTATTTGAACATCCACCACTTTCTCTATCCTGGGAACTGTGGCTTTTCAGTGTTTCAAGTTAAGAAACTGAAAATAAATTTTGGGAGTAGGTAGAGGATGGATTTTGAGACTTAAGGAAGCAAGAGAGATTAAAATATTTACTTGGTAAGTTAAAAGTAAAGGCATTTACTGAATGAGTTAAAACAAATTTGAGCTATTTGTTTTGGTTTTCTCAGTTTTACTAGTATGGTGCTAATAAGTTATAATATGGTGTTCTGATTCCATCCAAGTCAGTCCTTAATAATAAAGTCCTTTATTACATGTCCCTCCACTTTGGCCAGGCATTTTATAAGAAGAATCAAGAAAGAGTGATTCATCAGTGTGACTATCATTATTAGCAGTCAGACAGTTGAACAAATCCATGTAATTAGCATATTTGTAAATGAATGTAGCAATTGCATAGTAAGAAATTTAGTCTCATCTAAAGAGAGGTCTGCCCTTTATCCTGGATCCTGGTAGATAACATATAAACACTTGGAATTTCTTAGTGAGTAGGACTACATCTGTTATACAGGGTAATTTCCTGGAGCCAGACCTGATAGTTAATGTTGACTCTTTGCTGGTGAATCATGGTAAGATCTCAACACTTATGCTAACATTATGCCTACAATCTAAAAATCCTTAGGCTTTTGTCTGGACGTGCCAGAAAGACCAACTGTGTGATTAGGGCATTGGGTCTTTGGCCGTATGCTTTCAACTTAACCTTGAGGGAGGAAGGGGTCTAGAGACTGAGATCAACCATGAGGGCAGTAATTCAATCAATCACTTCTCTGTAATGAAGCCTCAATAAAAAATCTACAGCTGAAGCTTGGCTAAGGTGCATGCATAACACATCTCGATGTGAGGTGGGCACACACACCCTTTCACTATAATATTTTTTACCCTTTCACTATAATAAAACTACAATGGCAAATTTAGTGCTTTCCTGAGTTCTTCTGTTAAGTTGTTTCAGAGAATACCTAATTTGAAGCTTGTCATGGGATCCTTCAACTTTGTAGCAGTTGATCTCCAGTGAGGGTCACCCTGGGGACTCTAAAACTTGTGGTTGTAATCTCAAGGGAGGGCAATCTTGTCAGGGTTGCTTGTTTTAATTTGTAGTTTGGCAAACTTACTCTGCCAGTGTCAAATTCTTGGACTAACTTAATAGCTTGGAGGATTGTGTCCCTACCCATGAGTTTGGCTCTATCTGAGAACACAAACTACTGATTAGAATGAATGCCCAGATCTGTTCAATGTCTGCTTATTCTTGGGAAACTTTTTGAATTGAGTAGGCAAGGCATACAGAAACCTTAGTATACCTATTGTCACCTCCCCCATCCAATCTCACATTACTGCTTATCTGTTTCCCATGTTTTCTTTACTTCTGAAGCAACAGATATGAGATATTATATTAAAGCCTCTTTAAAGCAGTTTGTCACATGACAGTTCTATACTTATAAATTTAAACCATGATCTTGTATGTAGCATTTAGAAACTGACCTGTGTGCCAGGGACAGCTGCCGCTCCGAAGGGTGGTCTCATCATGGGCTGTGCAAACATGACTGGTTGCTGAGGCATCATGGGCATGCCTGATCCAGCAGGGGGCTGCAAAAGAAGGGTGATTGGCATAGGAGTGGAGACCCCGATGGTTCTGCCTCATATTTATGCATTGAAAATGTTTCTGATAAACTTTGAGGAATTCATGTCTGTGAAAAAGCGTGACTTGTAATTTTGAATCATGGGTACCATGAGCCTGGCAGATGGCAGAGAAACACTGAGGTGCAGTGGCAGCCTGGCAGGCCACATGCATCCTCATCCTAACCAGGCTCTGTGTTGTTTGTCTTCTCTTAAGCATAATTCCTGAAGAGATGAAAACTTGCTTCTTTATGGAAGATGGCCTAAAAATTTGCTAGAGATAAATGTGATAAATGACTACTTATCTACTATGAAAAGTAAATTTGGATGATTGAGCCAAGAAAATATCTGGTAAATATTACTCCATAACAATGTAATCTAGAAATTCTAAAACAGACTTTGTTTTAAGTATTTTATAACTGACTTTATCCCTTTATGTATAGACTAAGGTCTAAAGCAGAAAGGCTAAACATTTAAGAATTGCTTTACTGCATTTGGAGGAGAACTGGGTTCTACAGCAATATTTGTTAAGCTGAATTTGGCAAAGGCCTAAGAAATATCAATTGAAGTTTTAAACACAGGTTATCACTCACCATTCCAAATCCTGCTCCAGGTTGTCCAACAGATGAAGCCCCGGCAACAGGCGGAACTGAGCTGGTTGGAGGTACAGCTCCTTGCTATCAAAACAACACATACACACCAGCAAAGAAAAAGAACCAAAATAATTTGGTTTTTAAGGGACAGAATATGATTTTTTAAAAGATTTATTCATTTATGCATACAGAGCTGCGGTACAGGCCAGAGGTACAGAGGCAGTGAGAGGATTCACCAGAGATAGAGTGGGGAGCAGAATAAGCCGACTGATAAGTACATTGCAGTGGGCGGGTCAGGAGAGGTCTGCCACGCCATGTGGGTCACCTCTGGGGTAGGGACTGAACTCATGTGGAAGTGGCTTTAGCCTTTCAGTGCTGGCCTTTAACCCACTGTGCCATCAGGGAGGGCCCGACAGAATACAATTTTTAAGTACAAGCATTGTAAGTATGCATGGATAGGTAAGTAAGCACTGAGCTCAGTTTTAAATGAAAGTGGCTCTAGCACCAGTGATAGAACAGGTCACTGCATAGATGTGCACCTTCGTGGTGCTGTCGGACCACTGGGTTTCAGGTGATGCACAGTGTTGGTTTCCTTTCTTATATCCACTCTCCTTAGATCCACCCTCTAGGTAAGCAATTCAAATGAATCAATCATTTCTTCCTATGGTTATATCCTCTGAGGGGTACTGGCTTAGACAGTTGAGGAATATGCTTTCATTTACATTTCAAATGTTTGGTTTCCATTCTCCCCCAAGTTTTTATTATTCTTTTCTATGCTATACTTAAAAACAATTCTTTTGAGACTCTAAAAACCAAGCAACACCTAAAACATGGAAGCAGCCCAAATGCCCAAAAGTAGATGACTGGATTAAAAAGATGTGGTACATATACACAATGGAATATTACTCAGCAACCAAAAGAGAGAAACACATGTCTTTTGCAGCAACTTGGATGGAGCTGGAAAAGATCATGCTTAGTGAGATAAGCCAGAAAGAGAAAGAAAAATACCGGATGGTTTTACTCATAGCAGGAGTATAATGGACCAGGCAAGAAAATAACAAAAATAATGAACAACCATATACCAGAGACATTTTGTGAGGGTGGAGTGGGAAATGGGATCAAAAATGGGTGCACGGGATTATGGTGATGGCACATGGCTGACTTGGTGATGGGAAATCCGTGGGGATTACAACTGAGATAGGAAAAAAATGTACAAAATGATGTAAAAATAAACTGTTATAAAAACAAAACAAAACAAAACAAAAAAACCAAGCAACATCTTTCAGCAGCCAGAAAGTATTTATTCAAGAAAATCAGCTGAATCTTGGTATGAATTGTGAGTTTTATGGCATTTTAACTTATTCTATAGCTATCCACTGTCCTATAGATCACCTGTCACCTTTTAAAATAACAGTGCACATTCCCAGTATAGAAGCAGAGAAAAGACTATATTGAATTTTTTTTTGGGCGGAGGGTGTCTGGTTGTCTGGAAAGCCTGTCTCAAGATACTCGTTTTGGTTTTGCCAAACTTGAAATGCACCTACTGCTAGAGCTTTATCTGAAGTAATTTGTGGAAAATATTTATAACAAGTGATTTAGTTGTTGCTGTCTGAGGCAGTGGATAACAGTCTGGGCAAACAGGATACTAAACAAAGAGCTTGGGAGGAAAGAGCGAGAATGAGATGTAGGGATTAAGGGTTTAAAAAGCTCAAGGTATCTTGGGAATTTAGAAGTCCATGCACATTCCCAGGGCTGTGCACATACTCAGGAAAGATGCTGGCCAACCACGAGGCTTTGAGCAGGCAGTAAGGAGCACTATCGCCATTGCACACTGAGTTGGAAGATATGTCCCAACACCTACACAGTTCTGCAAAGACTGGGAGGTATTTTTTTCTAGGAGTTTAAGGAAACCTGTGTAACTTTAGCTGAGCACTTAGGTAAGGGAATGGAGGCATCAATGGACAAAGATGGACCAAGAACACAGACTTTACAAAATTATTTTAGGATGGTCAGTTAAAACAAACAAAAACCCAAAACCAACCAACAAAATGGGTGAGGTCTGATGTCCACAGTTACCACATTATAATATTCAAAATATCCAGGATTCAACAAAAATATGAGATATACAAAGAAACAAAAATGTATATCCCAGTGGTAGGAGAAAGATATAGAAATAATAATTTAAACTTCCACCTTAACAGAGCACAAAAAAAAAAAAAAGAAAAGAAAAACAAAACCCAAAGTAGAAGAATAGGAAATAGTAAATACTAGAGTGGAGCTAATGAAGTCAAGTATGAAAATCCAAAGAGGATATAAAAAGCTATATATTGTTTTTTTTTATTGTTGTGTATATGCCACTTCTGCTTATCCACACATCTTTTATTTTTTTATCATTTAAAAAATTTTATAACAGTTTATTTTTACATCTTTTTTTCCATATAAATTGTAATCCCCGCGGATTTCCCATCACCAAGTCACCTGTGTGCCATCACCATAATCCTGTGTACCTCCCTCCCTACCCCTCCAATAAAAAACTATATATTGATTTTATAAGAAAATATTAATAGGGGCCTTCCCGGTGACTCAACAGGTTAGGACTCAGCTCCACAAGCTAGCAGAAGGTGCTTCAGTGCGAGTTCAATCCCCTGCTGGAGGTGATCCACATGGTACTGCAGACCTCTCCTGACCCACCCGCTGCTCCCCTCAGTAGTGTACTTTGTCCATCTGCCTGTTCTGCTCCCCACTCTGTCTTTGGTGAATCTTCTCACCACCCCTGCACCTCTGGCTTGTATCCCAGTTCTGTATGAATGAATAAATAAATCTTTAAAAAAATGAATACAAGTAACAGATTTACTCAGGTAAACAAACTAGGGTAAAAGAGAAATTTAAATAGATAAATCAGGAAAGCTATTAGGGACTTCACTATTATTAACCTTACAGAAATTAAAAAGAATTTTAAGGAAATACTATGAGAAGCTATTTGCCAAAGACATGAGATGATCGAAATAAAAGTTGAATTCATACAAAAACATAAACTATCAAGACTGACTCAAGAAAAAATAGAAAGTCAAACAGATATGTAGTAAGAGAATAAACCAGAAATTAAAAAAGAACAAACTTCCATCACAAAATAGCTCAAAGCCAGATAGCTTCAATGGTGAATTTTGCTATATATATATATACATATATACTATATATGTATATATGCTATGTGTATATATATATACATGCTATATATGTGTATATACATATATGTGTGTGTGTGTCAATTTCTCAAAAATAAAAAAGAGAACACTTCCTAGTCATTCTTTGATGCCAGTGTTACTTTGATACCAAAGTCTCCAGAGGAAATTATCATGCAGAGTCCTGTAGCATATTGAAAGAATTATATACCATGATAAAGTGAGTTTTATCTTAACAATACAAGGTTGGCTTGATCAACGCAATATATTTTATTAAGAAACATTAAAATTATATCATTTTAGTAGATGCAAAAAATGAGGCATTTCACAAAATCCAACATCCTTTTATGAAAAAACAAAAAGCAACAAAAAATACTCTTTGAACTTTGAATAGAAGAGAAGTTTCTCATGGCTAAAATCTTACTTAATGCTGAATGGCTGAAAACTTTATCCATAAGAATAAAACAAAAATGTACTAAAATTTCTAATCAGCTCATATAGGTAAGAAAAAGATAAAGATGGCGTTCAGATATGAAAGGGAGAAAAACCTATTTCTATTGTATTAAAAATTATATATAGAATAATATAATACATAATATAATAAATATAATAAATAATCTATACCCACAAACAGTAAAAAAAAAAAAGAACTAAACCAAAAACTACCAGTTAATAAGTACAGCAAAGATACGGGATATCAAATCAATGTACAAAAATCAGTGAGTGTTCATACTATGCTAGTACTCAACAATTAAAAAAATTACAAAAACAGTACTTTACAATAGCATCAAAAATAAAAAAAAATAGAAATAAACACAAGTGTAAGATTTGTGCACTGACAACTATAGAACACTGTTGAAGGAAATCAAAGACAACTTAGACAAGAAGGACAAAAGCCTGTTGGGAAACGTAGTAATGATATGATAGCAACACCTTCCAGGATGCCTTACAGATTCAGTGCAATTCCTACCAAAATTTTAAATGTTTCTTTTGGAGAAAGAACTTAAGATTTATATGGAAATGCAGTGAACCAAGAATGCCCTACAAAAGAGCCAAGCCACTTTCAAAAAAGAACAAATTTGGAGAACTCACATTTCTTGTTTCAAAACTACTATGCTTTTTTATCAGGACGGTGTGGTACCGGCATAAGGACACACAAGTAGACTAACAGTACAAAATAATCTCTGAAAATAAGCCCACATATCTATGGTCAATCGACTGCTGACAAGAATGTCAAAGTCCACAAGTGAAGAAAAATATAGTCCTCTTTTCAACAAGTGGTTCTGGAACAAATGGATTTCCACATGCAAAACAAGAAATTTATGGCCTATTTCACAACATACATGAAAATGAGCCTAAAAATAGATCAAAGACCAAACATAAGAGATGAAAATATAAAACTCTTATAAAGAAACACAGGAGTAATAAATCTTCAACACTTTGATTTATGTTTCTTAAATATGGTATCAAGCATACAAACAACAGAATAAAAAAGAATAATCTTATAAAAATTAATAGCTTTATTGCATCAAAGAGCACTATCAAAAACAGTTAAGGTCTTCCTTGGTGGCCCACAGGGGTAAGTCTTAGCACTATGAAGCTATCAGTAGCCACTGCAGCATGAGTTCCCAACCCCAACCAGGGAGCTTACCCACATGGCACAGCAGACCTCTTGTCTCATCTACTACTCCCCTCTGCAGTGTATCTCAGTTAATCTGCCTGTTCTGCTCCCTACTCTGTCACTGGTGAACCTTTCACTTCCCACTCCTCTGGGCTGTACCCTAGTTCTTTTATGCACAGGTAAATGAAATAAATCTTTTAAAAAATAGTTAAGTTAAATGTATGTGGTTAAACTCTTGAGGTCAGGTGCCTCCTTGGTGATTTATGGGTTAAATCTCAGCACTATCATCACCTAGGCCTGAGTTCAATTCCCCGCCAGGGAGCTGACCCACATATGTTACAGAGACCTCTGCTGTCTCGTCTGCTGCTACCTTCAGCAGTGTATTTCAGTAAATCCTCCTGTTCAGCTCCCCACTCTTTCCTGTTGAATCCTCTCACCCCATCCACATCTGGCCTACACCTCCGTTCTTCTATGCAAAACAAACCAAAAATCTCTTGCTCCCAGGATGGGAAATGGCCAAAGAAGGCCTTGATTTAACACCATTTTTAAAGTGTTTTTCCCTTGTTCCTTTTCTTGGTTAATAATTTCATTATTTAGCAAATTGCCCCCAAAGATGCCTGGCTCAGGCTCTTGGTGGCTTTGCTTACAACGCTCTCCAGTGCATGAATTTTATCTGAGATTGCTCTCTCTTCTTTTCCTTTCTGCCCTCTCTACTCTCTATCTTTTTGGTTTGTATTATAAACCAAATCTTATAAACCAGTATTCTTACTCCCTTTCACTCTTATCTTAGATTCTCACAATTTTGAAACTATTGAAAAACTTCACACAATTGAAAGTTATACCCTGCTGAGGACCACACCATCAAAGCATGAACTCAAAGTCAATGGAATTAACACTTTGTAAATAATATATCTCCTTTATATTTCTTCAGCATTGCAAGGCCTCTCTCTAATTTTGCATGGAAGAAAGTCGGAAAGTTGACTCCTTTAATTTGGAAAGGTAATTCATATTGTGAGATTTAAGTCAATATGGAGTAGTATAGAAACCCTTACTTTAGAAATTACATTTATGCTCACTGAATCTCCCTCTACTACACCACAACATGAGAATGGCTCCCTCTGTTCTCCTCCCCTGGAATTCAGCCCCGAGGCCCAGAGTGCTGCCTGCTTATCATCTCAGCATATGGCCACTAGCCAAAGAGCAGCGCTTGGAGTCCCAGAGTAATAATTACATTGCCCTTGAAATGAGTCCTGAATTGGAAAATAGTCTTATTAGATACAGGTCACAGGGAGGGGAGAATAGAGTAGCCAGATTTTGAGAACCTAAATATCTGGGGACAGAATCTCTGTTTTCTTATAGCTAGAAAAACTATAAGAAATGGATAATTAAGAAAACACATCATAACTTTTATTAAAGATAAAGTCAATGGAATTAACACTTTGGTAAATAATATATCTTCTTTATATTTCTTCAGTTCTATGGTATCACTTGTAATTAATGTTATGCTATTAATACTGCTTCGCAGAACATTTTTGTTCAAGGAGCTCTTTGCAGACTTCTTTGAACTTGTTTATTATTCCTAAACCTTATAAAGTGGTTTATCTATAAGACCATTATTACTGAGAAAAATTACTTAAATGAAAATGTGTTCTAAATTTCCAAACTGATATTTAATTAATTCTAGAATATAGCATTTTTAGTGGAATCTATCTAAAATATTTATACTTTATTTGATATTAATTAACTTCCATGCATGTTTGTTTGGATGTCAATTTTCGGTGATGTTTGAGAATGAATTCAGGCAGCAAGGAAAGGAAGGAATCAAGATATATTTAGGAGTGAGGCTTAGGAGAAGGTGGAAAGGAAATGTGAAAAGTTAGCATAAGTTTTGAAAAGTGGCTGGGTAAATATGGGGTAAGTATAGGAAAACACTACATTTTGCTGCCCAGGCAGTATCCTTTTTGTGGTGGTAAATAAAACAAAAAGTTAGTCTTTATTTATTATGGTATGTTCTTTCACAGAGTGAATGGTGATGTGAATGTTAGAATTTTGATATATAGAAATGAAGCCTATTAAAATCTTACAGATAAAATGGTGTTAGTAGTTTCAATTTTAAAAATGCTGGGCAGAATTAATAGGGTTTTAAAATGAGAATTCACTTTCACCGTAGAAAAATGCCCAATCTTTCTGGTAAGAAAAAAAGTTTAATTATTTATTTAAAAAAATCAGGAAATGTGGGAAGGAAATGATAAAATACAGATGGTTTTGAAAATATTTACATAGTTGTATACACATAGAACTCATATCTAAGGAAGCACATATACTATTTTGATAATAAAATTTAAAAATAGATGATAAACATCTGTATTTTTCCTTATGATTTATTTCACTGAGCACCATCCCTTCCAGTTCCATTCATATAGAAAATATATTTTTTAAAAAACCCTAAAAACCAAACCAAAACAAAACCCACTATAGATAGCTTTATACAAAAAAAAAAAAAACTGGACAAGCTATAAGAAATGAATAATTAAGAAAAGATATCATAACTGTTATTAAAGATAAAGTCAATGGAATTAACATTTTGATAACTATTATATCACCCTTATATTTCTTCAATGTGGATGAAGAAATACAACATCAATAGAAAAATTAAGCAAAATGCACCCTGGTCCACTCACTTGGAAACTGGCAAAGTGCTTATACATACCAAAGGCGTGCTTGATGGGACACCAGCGGACCAGGTTGCTGGGGCTACTTTTGGCTGCCAGTTGGCTCCCCCAGTCAACTTCTTCTCTCCAGCATTCCACTGAAGATCTCCCCTAAAATCAAGCATGCAAAATAAAGATAACACTCCCTTCAGGAAAGAGTTGTGATAGCTACTAAGATAATTTTATTTGGATTGAAAACACTGTTTGAGCCAAGGTGTAGTAAAGAGAACAGCATAGAACAGAAACCAGTCTTGTTATACTGCACTTATGATATTAAAATCATTTGAAAAACCACTTATATTTGGGCCTTGGTAATAATGAGAATTTCTTGTCTCTTTTAATAGAAAAATGTATCATAATGTTCAACTGAATTCTTCACTAGACATAACAATTCCAAATATGAAAATCATAAACACATTGGCTTTAAGAAGCATCCATATAGCAATTAATAGATCAAAGTAGATGGTTTCATATACCTATATCATGACTACAGCTAGCCTTATTATGGCCATAAGACCCACTATCATAAAATGCATTCCAATTGCAGAGACATGGAAATACCTATCTAAAAAAGGGTACATTATTTTTCTTTCTTATAACTCTTTCTTAATGTCTACATTCTATGAGAGACTTCTAAAGACCAGGGTGGCACCTCAACTTTGATGAGCTCAGGTTTCCCTGCTAGTTACTTTCAGAGCACCTTGTAACACTCTTTTTTAATAGTGCTACTTTTTGTGCTTATTTGATTAGTAACTCTTTCTTACTAGACTTGGACCTTCTGAGTTAATAGGGATTGTGTTTGTCTTTTTCATTCTTATGTGCTTGGTGCCTAGGATGTAATGGGTACTCAATAAATGGTTATCAAATGAAATAAGTGTACTTTATAGAACATTAGATAACTTAGCTTTATAATGCTTAATTATAATCTTGAAATGTCCTTAAATTATACATTACTATTCTGGCATTTTGCTTTATAAATACTCTATGGTTCTGGCAGATCAAAAGAGAATACCCTTCTCTTCCTGTTGTGGAAACAACTGAGAAACAGGCCCAACAGTCAGACACTGATGTGAGGGTAGGGCTTAAATGTGTGGCTATAGTGGAGTTACTAATTCGTCTTTATACATCTCAGTCTTACTCACAAATCAGGTCCATATTTGGGGGCGATGTGAAATAAAAATTGCTTTTGTTCATTGAGAAGTGGGAATCATCTCAAAGGTGAACATGCTATGAAAAGGTTTAGAAACAATTCAAAAGATCTTAAAGAGGAAGTAAATGCAGAACATTAAGCCTCCATAGTCATTTACTATTTTCACAGAGCTAGAAAAAATAAGTACCCTTCCATTCTTGTTCTGTCTCCTTATGTTTAGGCATGAAATAAGACTGAAGTGTGTGAGTTTAAAAAAATCATCGGGATAAATGAAATAAACTTGTGAACTTTAATATCTAAGCCCTAAAAGTTTTTGATGTGGTTTTTACTCTTCTGGTAGTATAACTGTTCCTTCTTTCCCCCTTCCCATTCCATTATGTTGAAATGATAAGTAGAACAAGCAATACACAAAACATACCCACACACACATCAGTGTTAGCCAGGAATATTGCAGTGAATGAAGCAGAATTTAAGATTACTAAAATATTCAAAAGGCAATTCTCGCACATCTTTAGATATAACCTAGTGTTAATATAGAAGCCTGAAACAGATTACTCCTTTCATTGTAAGGTTCCAGGAGATTAACAACAAATCCAGAATGAAGTAAAATACAATTTTCAAATTTCCTAGAATACCCTAGAATGAAAGATTACTCCAGTGAGTACAATGCTTGATAGCTTCAAATAAATAAAATAAATGGTGACAAAAAATACAGATCATTTCAAAACACTTACTTTTTGGATGTGGTACCAGAAATTCCAAGATCTATAAATGGATCAAAGGAAAAGAATTTAAATTTCCATCATTTCAATAATCAAAGAACCAGAGGTCTAGAAAAAGTGTCTACTTTTCTTAGGAATGATTGTATCCAGTTATACAAACATGCCTACAACACAAAAACTTTCTTTTACTTTATGTTATACTTAAGGTTTACATCTGGTGAACACTAGGCGCATAGAGTCCTTATAGGGACAGTATCCAATAAAAATATTGATGTTGAGCCCCTAATGAACATCTCGGGGAAAAACATCTCCCATGTTGCTGCATTTTTATACAGTATTCCACTCACAGGGAAGAGACAGCTTAAGCAAGTTTGCATGTGATTCTTCCAGATTCTGGCCTTCTTTGTGTGGGGATCTAGAATGTTTCCTTCCTAAGCTGCTCTATCAGATTTTCAGTTGTGCGCATAATTATGTGCTGTCACATTTTTTTTTTTAAAGATTTATTTATTTTACATACAGAACTGGGGTAAAGGCCAGAGGCTCAGGGGCGGTGAGAGGATTCACCAGAGACAGAGTGGGGAGCAGAACAGGCAGATGGACGAAGTACACTGCTGAGGGCAGCAGCGGGCGGGTCAGGAGAGGTCTGCCGCGCCATGTGGTCACCTCCGGGGCAGGCGGGAATCGAACTCATGCGGAAGCGGCTTTAGATTCTCAGTGCTGTGCTTTAACCCGCTGCGCCACCAGGGAGGGCCTATGTGCTGTCACATTTTATTAAATGAGCAAGTATGAGAGTGGTCTTGTGACTCCTGACACAATTGGCTTAATCATTCTGCTCTAATTTTATTTAACTTCATCAGTTATTTATTGAGCTCCTACATCTGTTGGGGACTTTTCTAAGCATGGGCACATATTAGAGAGAAAAACAAGGACTTGTAATCTGGAGGAATGTGAATTATAAATGGGTGAGATGATAATACACATTAAAATAATAAAAAAAATTATATAGGTTGTTAGAAGGCCATTTCGAAAGCCTATTGAAAAATAAAAAGGATGAGCATGGTAAAGGGGATGAAGACAGGTAGATCAAAGTTGGGGGCAGGCGGTATTAGACAGGGGGCTCAGGGACTGCCTTAGAGGTGAGATTTATGTAAAGCAGAGCAGAGATCTTGGAGTGGAGTTTTCTAGACTGAGTCACATAGTGCAATATCTGCCTAATGGTAATTTCATGTTTAACATTTTGAAACACTGCCAATCAACTTTCCACAGTACCTGCCCCTCTTAATGTAGTGCTGGACTCAATTTGCCAAGATTTTGTTGAGTATCTGTTTATCAGAGATACTGGTATATAGCTTTCTTTTCCTTTTTCTGCTGTGCTTGCTTGGTTTTTGGGTGAAGATAATATTGTCCTCATGAAATATGTTTGGGAGCTTTTCTTCTCTTCAGTTTTTTTTTTTTTTTTGAAGAGTATGAAAAGGACAATAGATAGTACTAGATCTTCTTTGAAGGTTTGGTAGAATTCAGTAGTGAAACTACCTGGCTCTGAGCTTTCATTCTTAGGGAGGAATTTAATTACTTTTTCAATTCTGTGTTTGTGATTGGCCTGATAAAGCTGCTTTTTTCATCCTCAATGCTCAATGTTGGAAAGTTGTATGCTTCTAAGAATTTGCCAGTTTTTTTCTAGGTTGTTGTTTGTTTGCAGATTGATTTTCATAGAAGTCTCATAATCCTTTATGTGTCTGCAGTCTATGTTATAATTTGGCTTCTTTCATTTTAGATTCTTCTTACTTGGGTTTTCATACTTATTTCCTAGAGAGCCTTGCTAATGATTTATTAGTTTGTTTTTTCTTTCCGAGAAACAGCTCTTGGCTTCATTGATATTTTACATCATATTTTTCGTATCTATTTAATTTATTTTCACTCTAGTATTTTCCTGCCTACGATTGATTTTTTAATTTCATTTGCTCTTCTCTTTATAGTTGCTTCAGATATAGTTATACTATTTATTTAAGTGTTCCTTATTATTGATCACGTACTTCCCTCTTATGCTAGCTATAGTGTATCCTATAGGATCTGATAGTTAGCTGACCCCCAGATATTTTTTTTTTAATTTTAGCTTAATTCTATTTAATATGATTTCCATATTTGTTCTCATTTCAGTCAGTCTACCTTTGTGCACTTTTTTTTTTTAAAGATTTATTTATTTGTGCATACAGAACTGGGGTACAGGCCAGAGACTCAGGGGTGGCGAAAGACTTCACCAGAGACAGAATGGGGAGCAGAACAGGCAGATTGACGAAGTACACTGCTGAGGGGAGCAGCGGGTGGGTCAGGAGAGGTCTGCCACGCCATGTGGTCACCTCCAGGGCAGGTGGGAATCGAACTCACGGGGAAGTGGCTTTAGCTTTTCAGTGCAGTGCTTTAACCTGCTGCGCCACCAGGGAGGGCCCCTTTGTGCACTTTTTAAATTCTTCAGTCTCATTAGCGAAGAACTCTTGTTCCTGGGTATCTTTTCTGAGATCCTGTACCTACTTTTCTGCATTAGCTTGTCCTTTCAGGATTTCAATGAGTTTTCTTAAAATTGTTATTATACTCTCTGTTAGGTAACTAAGATCTGTGTTCATTATGTAGGCCTCTGGACTTCCTTTTTTATTATTAACTTTATTTTAATTTTTAAAGATATTTTAATTTATTTATGAATACAGAAATGGGGTACAGGTACAGCGAGTGGATTCAACAGAAACAGAGCGGGGAATAGAACAGGCAACTTTGTAATTTTCTTACATTATTGTTCATTTTTGTACAGTATTTGATTTCTCCCCTCAGGTATAAGGAATTCTTTTCTATTAACTTTTCCTTCTTGTGCTCTGATGCTCCTGATTCCCAGGTATATGTAATGACCTATTCTAGTGAGGTAATGTATCATTGCTTCTGTTTGTTTATCTATTTTGTTAAAGGAGGAAGTGAATGCTAGAATCCAGAGACCTAGTATCAGTCTGGTGAGGAGGGAGAGTTAATTCAGTCAGAGCAATATACTCTCCCTCTGCTTTCCTTGCTTGATAAAGCAAATACTGTCCATTATTTTAAGGAGCCCAAATTCCAGAGCCCTGTGTCTTTGCTGCTCTTGTTTAAGATGAGTAGTGTCGGGCAAATGGGCTTGGCATCAGCCCTGGTGCAGAGAATGTAGGTTTTGGAATGGAGTGCTGTGCTTGGTGAGGTGTGTGAGTCTTTCTTGGTATAAAGTGCACAGCTGGTCTTGCTCTCTTTCAGATCTCCTAGGAGGGAGCTGAGTTGCTGGCAGCCAGACTTTCCATTACTGAATCCAACAAACCCAGAATGCATATGCAAGTAGTTATGTACTCCTTACCCACTAAATAAAATACCCTCTGCAAGATCTCTCTGCCTACATAGTCTATCCTTGGCTCATGGTTTCTTACACTACCTGCCCAGGCCACAAATGTACCTCTTATCAGCTGGAGTTATAAAGACCTATTTCTGAAGGAGGATCTGGGCATCACATTAAAGTGTTCAGTAAAAGCAGTCCCCACTTTTAGACTATTCACAAGTGAGATGAAATTTTAGAATAGGAAGAATATTCCAATAAACTCTTGCCAGGTGTCACTAAAGAATCTCCATAGATGCCCAGACCAAGGACAATGGACAGCAAACAGAAATATTTCCATAGGATAGTACATAGGGGGAAAAAGTCTGTACTGATGATCTCCCAAACTCTTGATAGAGCCTTGAGTACAAGAATTTTTGCAATAGTAAATTCATTCACCATAATAAAAAATAAATCTCAGAGTAAAGGGCAATCTAACAGCTGTCCTTACCTTCTATGACTCTCTCCTTTACTTACCTAGCTCTAGTCACTAATTTTCAAAATGTTTCTTGAATATGCCAGATAATCTGCCCCAATACCTTTACACTGGTTATGTCCTTTGCTTTCAAATGTCCCCCTTGAGATATTCACATGGCTGATTCTTTGCCTTCAAATCTTAACTCAAATTTTACTGTCTCAGTGAGATATACTCTATCTCTCACTCTGTAGCATTGACAACTCTCTTTTGACTATTCTGGTATTCCCCGTGGCACTTAAAACCTGACATATTATAAGAATATATTTAACATATTTAATGCTTTGTCTCTGTCTTTTCTGAACCCCATAAGAGAAAAAGTTTATACCTACTTGGCTCAATGACTGGAGCTTGGAAGAATGCTTGGTACTCAATGAATGTTTGTTGAATGAATAACTGAAGCTCACTTGTATACTTAATTATTGAATATTCTGCATTCGTATTATTCTATATTCTTATTTTCAAATGGAATGAAAAATATAGTACTAAAACATGCACACTTTGTTTCATATGATGTGCTCTCTAGTTGCATCTTCAGTAATTCAGATGACTGCTATTAGACAATGGCATAGTGAATTTTTTTTATCTTTCAAGGAACTGTACTGGGTACACAAAGAATTTCTATCTACTCCTTGATATACTTACCCATACGTGAATCCAAAAACAAAGCATGAGAAAATAGAGAAAAAACTTACACATTAATTAGTTAAAGGAAGCTCTACTACTCACTGCCTACTAAGCTGGCAAGAGATGAGTCAAGATCACTCCCTAGGGGTTTGCTTGCTGCCGTTGCGGGGCTGGGTGGTACCACTGAGACGGGTGCAGGCTGCCCAGTTGGTGCCATGGTTGGCATCAGAAGGTCACCTAGACCATCAAACACTGGAAATCAAATAGATCAAGGTCAGCATAAAAAAAATATGAAAAAAACTACAGAAACAAGTGGGTATATAATCTTATAAAAGGAGAAATGAAGTTCACACTTTTCATGATTGTAATACCAAAAAGAGCGTTTCTATAAATACATCTACTTATAAAGTATGGAAATATTAATGAGCATGAACAAATGAAAAATAACCTGTGTAATGTATAGAAAAGAGCACAGATTTTGGAGTCAGAATTGGGATCAAGTTTAGCTGTTTCTTTCACTACCTGTGGGACTTTGATAAAGCTATTGTCTGAAGTTTAGTTTTTGTATCTGAATACAGGGAGAGTAAGTCTACTACATAACTTTGTTTTATAATTTAAATTAGATGATATATATTATGTCTTTATTACAATGCTTACTGTACATAGGCACCGAGTGGTAAAACTTTTCTCAGTTTTATTAAAAATAATCACTAACACTTTATATTAAGATACGAGTGATTTACAGCAAAGTTTGAACAATTTACTCTGAGACCCTAGAATGTTTACTTTTAAAACAATTATTAATTGAGAAAGGAAGGCTGAATCTACCGGTTGCACACGAAGTCAGCATCAGAACAAAACATTCTATTGATGTGAAAAAACAGCTGGCCAAAACTTAGACATAAGTATTTTGATTTTTTTTCTTTATAGTAATCAATTTTCGATTCTAACCTCAGGGGCAGAGTAAGCAAAGAACATACAAAGGAAATACTGTTGTAACTGTTATGAATCACACTATTACTATGATTCCACAACCATATTACAAATCACTACTTGTTTAATTCCTAGAATGAAGACCATTTAAGTGCAGATATATTTGTATAAATTATTGCTAATATCTTTTCTATGCCAAAATTCTATGGTTAATTTTCATTAAAAATCTATGAATATTTACCATGAATACTACTATACAATAATGCTAAATCAAAAAAAGGAAAGCATTCAATTAGGCACTGGCAGTAGAAGCAACCAAATTGTCAGGCAAGGGATATATTTAGGGTGTTTCTGAAACACATTTAATTGCCAAAAACTCACCAATTGAAAATTTGTAGTAAGGACCCAGCATGAGAAGAGTAGAATGGAAGAGAATACAAACAAAATGACAGCAGGATGAAAGGTTAAAGGCAGGCAAAGAATACTATTTGTGTCTCAACTTCTTAAAACTGAGGGCCATGCAAGCTTCAGAGGGTGTAAGCAATAGCAGTGGGATGTCCACATGCTCAGATATTGTACAAAGATTTAGTACAAAGAATCTGTTTCCCTAGTAGTACGAATTAACCAATTTGAAATCAGTGTATACAAGCTCATGCAAACAGATGGTATGTGCTGTTAGATTTCTGCTAGAAATTAAAAATAGAAAAACATAAAAGGATTATGTGTAATTCTTAGATCTACTCAAATATTCTTAAAAATTTACTTAAGTTATAGAAAAGGGGGCTTATTAAAGAGTTTTAAAATCATATTATCACTCCATATTTGCTTAGAATATCCCGATATGATACTAACCATAGGTGATATCATTTATTATCAGGAGAAATAAAAAGCATGTTTAAAAATCACTGCCTCACCTGATGGATCAAAGGAGCTGCTGCTAGAAGTTGAAGGCGTTGTTCCAAAAGCTGCTTCAAAATTGGGCTGTAGCAGGTTATTCTGAGCTGGAGTCACTGGTGATGGAGAAGGGGCCATGAAAGAACCCCCAAATCCTGGAGGAAAAGAAATTCCAGAGGAAAAAAATATATAAGCAGAAACAACAGAGATGGGTTAGAGCCATAAAAACAGAGTCAAAAAACATTGTAGATCAAATGAAATTAAATGTATGTAGAAGAATGAAACCTGAGAAGATAATTCTTTAAATGTCTTCTAGTATCTTGATATGTTATGCATTAAAGAAACATTTAATTAGAATAAGAAAGCATACAATAAAATAATTTTATTAAGAGAAACTGGCAACTAAATCTATTACATTAAAACAAGATATAAAACTACAATAAGAAGATCTCACTAGGGTTGAAATTCAATTATTTTTACTTCATTTAAATTCTGTTTCTTTAAATCATCATACCAGATAGCTAGAAAATGCTTAGCTTATACATTGGCTCAGTATAATAAAATACAAATCATAAAAATATGCATGTACTCTGCCACCAAACACTCAAATATCTTTCATACACATCTTAGCCCATAGCTGCCACTGCCAAGTTTAAGTCCTGCCATCCCTTCCCTTGCCCCCCCCCCACCCATTTGGCTCTCAGGAGTTATAAGCAATCCCCAGAAAGGCTTTCTGCCTCTAGTCTGGACCTCTTCCCATCTAATCTCTGCAATGCAGCCAGAATGATCATTTTGAGTGGAAAATGTTGACAAAGTAACTTTTGAAAATCTTTCATTGGCTCCTCACAACTTTTAGATTCATATAATGCAAATTCCTTGGTATAGTACTCAAGCCCTCTACCTCTTCCTGCTCGTGACTTCTCCAGCCTTGCAAACTAGAGTGTTGCCACAATCCACCGCCATGAAACTCAGAAGGGATTCTGGGAGAATGCTCAGCCCTATGCTGCCTGCCCCTGCTACTTGCAACTCTCATACGACGTTCCAGCAAGTGTCCTCTTCTGCCTCTGTGTCTTTGGCACCTGGTATTTATATCCCTCCCATTCCATTATTCTTTATTTCTACCCCAAACTCTGACCCTAGAGATGGCTTTTTGGTGCCAGGAGCAATGTCCTGTTTCCTTGTCTTTTCTACTAATATTCAGCACAGCACCTAAAACACCAGTCAATATTTAATGAATGACATTTTTGAATATAAAATGTATGAAGAATCAAGGATTACTGTAAAGAAAATCAAATCCCAAGTTAACACCTGTCATTTGAAAGCTGGAAACAAATAATTTCTCTCAATCAAAAGACAGAAGCAGAAACAGTACACTCTATATTGTTTTTGTCTAAAAGTAAGACTCTGTGAAGGAGGGGGTTTCTCAGATATTAGTCAATATACTATTGTTGAAGAATTTACTATTTCCAGTTTTCTTAGAGTCACTTTGGGTATATATTCTTGTCACATCTAGCTACATCTTCTCTTTTTTCATGAACTTCCTGCAAAAACAGTAAAAACAGTTCAAACACTTCCTTATGCTTACATCCCTTAAAGCCAATTTATAATTTTGAAAATGATTACCTTCAAAATCCTCCAGTTACTATTTTCTAAAGCATGCAATAATGTTAAGTTATGCTGTTTCTGATCAGTGATAGGGACATGGGTTTAGTATTTTCTCACATATGTACGAAAAAAATTGCAATGGAAAATAGTTAGAAGAAGATAATCTTGAAAGGTCACAGTGAATACTTTAATTTTAGTGTTTGAGTGATACAAGAATCATGTAACTTTCTTACTGAAGAAAATACATTCTTTAGGTTCAGAATTAATATAACTATGAGACCAAGGTGGCTAAATGTAATTACTTTTGTGGTTGTGACTATTTTGGTTCTAGGGTATCAGTAGCTGTGTTAATGCTAATTATTTTTGAAACATTTTACATTTCATGTCGATATATGATAGTTAATTTAGGCAATTGTTCTATGGTATGGCTCTCTTGTTTAAGATGATTGTGGAGACCACTGTTCTTAACTCTTGGTTTCTTAAAATTTGGTTGAGAAGACAATTTTAGAATTGCAGTTTATTAGAGTTGAAAGAGTCTAGAATTATCTGGTTCAACCCAAACTTCTAGTGGCTAAAAGTGTAAGAAGTTAACATACCTAGCCAAGCTTTAGCAGTTGAAATTGTAAAGTATGTGTATTTACACAGGGTTCATCTGTGCAGTTACTGAATTTTGTAAGTAAAAACACATTTATAAGTGAATAAATAACCTTATTCACTGAAAAAAAAAGTGCTTTTCTTACAAAGTGGAAGGCAAAATCAACATTGGCATGGGGTTTGCTAAGTACCAGGCACTATTCTAAGCATTACTTTTTCATTTGGGTTGAATTATGTGAACTGCAAGAATTGTCAATAATTGATTATTTTGGTCCTACAAAACAAGAAATTTGTATCATTCAATCTCAAACACATTAGTTCATTTAACCCTCAACAACATCATGAATTACCACAGATGAGGAAACTGAGGACAGACAAGTTAAATAATTTGCCCAAGGTCACAATTTGGCAAATAAATGCAGAGTCAGGAATCTTTCAGCATGTGATTCTCTACTTTAAAACCATATGACATTTTCCCCACAGTCAGAAATAATGCTGTTCCCTTCCTAAGGTTTATCAGCTTGATGGAGATCTGGAAGCATGAATTTTTCCATCATACTCTGTTCTTATGAAGCAGAAGTTAT